CCTGGATGACCTCCAGACACAGGTTATGCAAGTGATGTCCGTTAAGTAATTGTGTATTCTTTAACGAGTTTTTAGTCAAGGACCTTGCCTTTATTAAATTTCGTTCGTGTGGGCAAGGTCATGACCCACCAACATTTATTTCAAAAACTTCGTGACCTAAACACGTGCATAATCATTGTGATGTGGTCACCTTTATTCACTTTAATACTTCCATGCCGTGTTTGATATGTTGAGAGCAGGAGTGCCAGTGGTATCGTATGTTGGTGAATCAAAAGACCCATTCGGCGACGTTTTAACAAGCACATGCGTGACGTAAAGCATAAAACTCCCGACACTTCATTTGTTAAACATTTTCTTTCTGCATACTAAAACTAGGAGGTTCGGCGTGATCAGAACCCTGGGCTGTAACGCTTTTGCAATGAAACAGTGGCTTCCCTACCGCAAATATTTGAATCGATCCATCTACGTAAGCTGAAACACTTAAATGTAAATATTGTATGTTGGAGAATCATGTAGTCTTCACCTGTGCATAGTTAGTGTGGTTATATCACCCGTGATTACCTGTATTTTGCCGGGTCGAAGTGTCGTTCATGTGTGTCATTGTGTTCCATATGCTGAGAAAAAGATTTGCATGCTGGTGTGTGCGCTGTCAACACTAGCCGGTATCTGATATCCGTTTTATCTTTGTACTTTTCGAATCACATGAGCTATGACCATGGGCGAAAATGGGTTCTAAATATATTCTACGTAACGTGTAAAACGTATGCAAGTATTGTAAGGACGTCATTTTAACTGAACTATTTACTAGACATGCCTTTCATTTCGCAAGTAATAAAATACAAATCTAGAAATCTAGTGCTAGAAATCTAGTCCCTATGGAAGAGGTACGTAGCCGGTTGCCAGTTCTGCATAACCTTTAGACTGAGTAGCCGTGGGAGAATGCTCCACACGGGAGTGTGCGGTGTGTAGGATAACATCTGCTGGCGAATACACCCCCCCCCCCCGAAAAAAGTCCTTAATTGTCCCCCACAAAGTGGCGACAAAACTGAATTAGTCTTGTGAATTCTCACAAAGACTAGGCATCGCATATCCCTGCAACGATTCTGTTAAGCTATTGCCCGATACAATGCATACCGAGCTGGAAACGCAAGGTGCCGGGAAACAGTGCACTAGAAGTAATGGAATTAATAATGGAAACAAACCACTCACTGCGTCTGATTTATGCCATGCCTGCATTTACTAGTACGACGGACAATATTGTCAACACTTTTTAAGAGGTGTCGTGATTAGTGACACGGCCGTCCCCGTTTCAACTCAGCTGTTGGATGGACACCAGTTGACCTTCGAAGAGGAACCACACAGCAGAGGTCTCTGAGACACGATCCCACATAATGACCACACATTCTTTAGGGTGGCTGATGCTCCATCAGCTGAGATGCAGCGATCGCGCAGCTTGATGTCTGACAGCTAAGCTGTGCTTTGACTCGGCTCTTTTGCACATTTGAGTATTGCCATTGATCATTGATGGTTCCGACGAATAGTGTCGAATGATCCGAACCGTCTGCGCATATGCTTTGAGCAAACGGTTATCACAATCACTAAGCATCAGACCACAATAATGTTAACGTGACTCGGGGAGGATCTGGCCACTACAATTTTTAGCAAAAGAGTGCCCACTGGCTCTGGGTGTGTGAAAAGAATAAGGTTGGATGGAAACATTTTCCTAACGTTGCAATAATCGCCTGCGCCATTTTGTGCTGTGCCGCATAAACAGGGGTATAGTTTTTTTTTCGGTTGAAGCATATATAAAAATGACATTTTCAGTAACGGAAAAATACATAGCATTAACACACATTAACCATACATTAAACATAAATTTATCTAAGTTTGTAAAAGAAAGCGGGCAAAATCCACGGAGAAGCCCGTTTTTGCTGCTTTTCGGACGATGTCGGGGTCCGCAGTTTCTTCCTGTTCAGCTCCCCGCAACGTATCTTGTATACCCACACCCTCGCACATGAGCGTGTCCTAATTCGGGTTGGGAACGTCCGCAAGTCTGCTTAAATAATTTTAGTTGATTGTTACGCATTTGTTTCAGCCGTCGGGAGGCTGAAGCTCCTCCTAGGTAACCAAACTGTGTCGCCTTCGCACTATCCGCAGCTGCTCGAAGTTCGGCGTTGACCCCGAGACCGTGTGATGTAACACACGACTTTAATGATGAATAATGATGAATTATCAGCGAAGGGCGGTGTACAAGCCTCATTTTTCAACCACATTTGCTCGCTTACGGACCGAGACGACATTAGCCGCTCCGACAAACACAAACACTGCATTCCTCACACCGACACCGTTAGCTGGTGTGCTTTGCGGTCCGACGTCGTGTCTGTCTTCCGCCCGCTCGCGTCACCGTCCCGTCTCTGTGCCGTTGCTGGGAGTGTTCGCTTCTGTGACCGTCCGCTCCGCCTGCCCCGCTAAGGTCACAGGGTTACCGTGTACCGCCCGCCGGCGGCGACGGCCACCAGCTCGGCCACGGACATCTCCTCGTCGGACGCCGCGCCGCGAGGCTTCCCGTCGCCGCCTGTGCGGCCTCGCATGGGACTGGAGTACCTGGGACGGCCCGTCGCCCGCGCCAGCAGCCTGGGTCGCTTTGACCGGCCGGCCGCAGCCGACGCCTGGCCGCGCGGCTGGCTGGCAGACCATTACCAGACCCTGCCACGGCTCTCGGCGCTGCCACTCGGCAGTCAACGTGACACGGCCTCAGGTCACCGACCCGTACCAGGTGAGACCCTCTGGCTGGGCCCGGAGTCGGCTGATGAGGGCGTGGGCGAACAGGAGCCCCGTCCCCCTCCCAGCCCCCGAACTTCTCCCGGCCGGCGTCGCAGACTGGTCCCGAGCGGCGACGAGCCCAGGTCGGCAGCGGGCGCACCTTCCAGACGGCGCGGCGCGTCCAGTGATCCACCGTACTCAGATCATCAGCGGGTCCGCCCTGCACCTGGGGACTTCGCGTCCACGTGCCGATCGCGCGCCACTCCTGAGCGCCCCGAGTCCTGGGAGGGGAGCCCGGCCGACCCCCGCGAGTACTGCGTGTCGCCGCCCAACTGGCGGCAACGGCCGGACCGTAGCGGCACCCTACCCGCCTGGCGAGGGGCGTGGAGCCCCGCTGCAAGGGGCCAGCACGCCGGTCAGGGCCAAGACGATTCCGGCGGCGATAAACGCGTGGATCCCGCCAAGATAGTACCAGCTGGGACGACTACCGACTCGTTTTTATCAGCTCCGACTCGTCGCGCGAACTCGGAGCGTGGACGTGCGGCGGGAGTGCCGCGGCTCACGCGCCGCCGCCGATTCGAGTGGCGCGGACTCGGAGCGCGGCTTCCTGGAGGAGGCCGACTGGGAGCGTACAGACGGCACGCGGGCCGCGCGCCGCGCCGCCGGCCCGCTGCCGGCGCCGGCCGGCGCACCACCCTCGACCCGCCACTGTCGGCACAAAGCCGCAGTCAAGGTCAGCGCCGGCATGGGGAGCAGGGCAGCGCCGGACGCGCTCGCGCTCGCGCGCGCGGACGCCCGCGCCGTCGCTCCTTGCGGCCGGCCTCGGGCCGTTGGTCGCCCCCAGGGGTGCGGTGGGAACGCGATGATCGCGGTAGACGCGGTCAGACGCCGTCTCCGAGCCTGGAGACGCAGGTGGTCGAGATGGAGTTGATCGATTTCGGTCAGGAGGCCGCGTTGCGAGAGAGAATGGGCCGCAGTGACAGGACGCGGGCGGAGGCTGGGAGATCACCGTGTGCTGTAACGCCATCGACATATACCTCGGAGAATGTCGGCGCGCGACGAGATGAAACAACCGCGACGAATGCAGTGAGCACGACCCACACATACGACACCGTTCCGCATATCGGTCCAGATCCACAGCTCGAGAGGTGCCGCAATCTAGTCCTGTCAGAAATCCGGCAACGTAGCAAAACAAGGTCATGAATCAGGCAGAGAACGCGCGCCCCCTGGAAAGTCCCCGCATTGTCTACGACGACCATTGGGTGCGCGTCATCATCGGACAGAGCGCTGGGTTCGGCGCGGACGGGGCGGATGCGGGTCGCGACTCGCCGGGGTCGACAGCGTCGAGCGCGCTGGCCAGCGTCCGCCCGCGGCGCTCGCAAAGCTTTGCCGAGCCTGGCCGGCCGCCGGCGCGCCGGCCGCCGCAGCGCCACGCCAGCCTGAGCTGCCGTATCGCACGATGCGCATCGGCTGATAGCGGCGATAACGGCGCGCGCTGCGGCGGGCAGTGGCGTCAGGCGAGCACCCCGGCCGGGTCCGAACAGCGCTGGATCGGCAGCGAGCCGCGGCCGGCGCCGAGCGGCGCCAGCAGGTTCGGACGAGGAGAGAGGCGGGCGCGCGGCCGGCCCGCGGGCACCAGCCGCGGCAAGTGGCGCCGCGCCGCCCGGCCGCCAGTGTCAGCCGGGCGGCCGCCGCGGAGGCTGCGCGCACAGCACGGCCGTGCCGCTCACCGTCCCACCACCTACCGCGACGCCGCGCAGCCGGCCAGGCGCGCAGCGACGGCGGCGCCACGTCCGAGACGGCCTCAGTGTCTGACGCGGAGGAGACGGCGCCGCGGCACCGCACCAGCGACTACAGCGGTTCACTCTCAAACCTCCCCGAGGCCGGCGTCGACTCGCTCAGCTCGGACATGGAGGAGGAGAACCGCAAGAACGCGGCCGTGTCGGCGCTCGACGACGCCGGCTCGTGCCGCATTGAACAGTGCGCGCCCGAGTCCAAGGTGGACGACTCAGAGTCGGACGAGTCCACGTGTGAATACGACCTGTTGGACGCGGCCCGAGCGGTACGACCGCGACCGGGCCGTCAACAGGATTCCGACTGAGAGCGAGAGCTCTGCGACGGCCGACACCACGCGCTCGGACGACTCGGACAGCTCCGACTCGGAGACGCACGTCAAGCGCACGTACGTGCTCAACGCCAGCTCGTCGGTGGAGGAAATGCTGGACAGCGGCACCGACTCGCCGCTGACGGTGGACGCCCGGGCGACGTCCCCGGCGCCGGCGCGCGTCGCCGGCTCCCGGTCGCCGGGCACGACCGGCGAGACCGGTCCTGCGGCGGCGCAGCAGGCCGATGGCGCCGAGCCGGACACGGGGCAGACGTACGCCGCTGGTGCCGAGCCGGACACGGGACAGGCCGACGCCGCTGGTGCCGGCCGAGTACAGGCAGACGCCGCTGGTGCCGGCCCAGGACAGGCGGACGCCACTGGTGCCGAGCCCGACACGGGACAGGCGGACGCCACTGGTGCCGAGCCCGACACGGGACAGGCGGACGCCGCTGGTGCCAAGCCGCACACAGGACAGGCAGACTCCGCTGGTGCCGGCCCAGGACAGGCGGACGCCGCTGGCTCGGGTGCGGCACAAGTGAATGCTGCCGATCCGGACACGAAGCATGCTGACGCTCATCAGCTCGTCACGACCTGTGCGAAAACGGTCATAGTCACTGACACGGCGGGACAGGAAAGGTCAGCTTCTGATGCGGTGAGCTCGCCGAGGCAAAGCCCTCCTAATATAGTGAAGCCGGCAGGCGTGAAGCATCTCGATGTGGTCGAGTCGGCGACAATGCTGTCTGCCAACGAGGCAGGCTGGACAGACACGAGTGCGGTGTACGTAGTGGGTTTTACGGAACTGAATTCTCCTGCAACATCCGACTCTAGGACTGAGGGCGTCATGGAAGCACCAAGTGTGGACAGTGCGAGTGCGCCAGAAACAGTGGACGCACGCGATGCGAGTGCTTCGGAATCAGTGCGGTCAGTGGAGGCGGCGAGTGGCGAGTGCGGCCCTGCTGTGTGCCTGGCCGAGGATGCAGCACAGGCAGCCGTCCCGGATGGCTCCGCGACTGAGGTAGAGCTAAACAAAGAAGCCAGTGCTCCGACAACTGGTGCGGCCCCGACCGGGGCTGAGGCTGAGCGACACGCGGTGAGTGGCGAGCCGGTGGCCACCCCTCAGTCTTCAGAAGCAGATGTCACGGCGCACGTATACCTGTCGTCTTGCGCGGTGGCTCCCAGCTTCTCTGTTTCACATGAGCTTAGAACGGATGTAGGCGTCCGGTCGCGGTTAGCTAGTCCAGAGTCCGTCCCAGAGAAGACTCGAGTCGACGCAGAAGGCTCGGGCGTCACTACCCGAGGTGCGGCAACGGGTGCGATAGCGCTGGACGGGGCGCAGCCAAATGACATTTCGGTAATCGAGGCGGTTTCATCAAATTCGGAACATAGCGTAAACAATGTTGCCCCATTCAGAGCCGTTGGGCATCTTTCACCGTCTCAGTCAATATCCGCCGCTTCTGAAGATGAGCTGAAACCGAACGAGGGTAGTCTATCGTCATCGGCTGCTGCTCAGGCCTGGCCAGGCGAGTTGAAGCTAGCGACATCAGATTCAACAGATACGTTAAATTCTACGGTCGCATCTGAACCTCATTTAACTCAACCTGAGTTTGTTTCCGGTACTCGAGCAGACAAGGCAATCCGCGAGGCATCTACCGGAGAATTACGCCTAGATGGCGCTGGTATGGTGTACCATGATGTTTCCGAATCCGTGTCGTCAGAGGTAAAAGTGGAGACAGCAAGCGCCGTTCAGACCAACAACACAGGGATCGTGCACAGTGACGACAAACTGGAACCATCGGATGTGCCCGGCTGTGAGTCGGGACCGCTCGGGCGTTCGGACGGCCCGCAGCAAGAGGCGACTCCCGAGGGCGAGGTCCCGTCAGGAAAACTGTCGGAGTGTACTGCATCGGAGACGGGTCCGAGGCCATCCCCAGAGGGGGAGCGTCTTATCGGAGATGATTTAACATGTGTGGAGCCGGCGGCAGACGACTCGGCCCCAGTTGACCCTGAATCCGCTACGCTAGGGGACAAAACCACAGCGGTTCTTATCGTGCCGGCCGGTTCAAATGTCACAGGGCCTGAGGACGACACAGCGACAGGCGGTCCAACAGCAGCCTGCCATGATGCAGCGGGCACGGGGGCGAACGGCTCAAAACCAGGCAAAACTGAAGCTACTGAATCGCAGGAAAAGCCTGTCGCTGAGACTGTGGCACAACCCAATCCCCGTGGGAGAGATGGTTCGGGGGGTCACGGTTCGGGTTTAGACAGCGCTTCTTATGATAAGTCTGCAGGTGACGAACAGAGGCTAAGCGGCTCTCCTGCCGATGAAGAAGATGGGGAGTCCACTCAGCTGGATTTGGCGCAAGGCGGTACTGAAGCTGATGCGGTTAGAGACAACGCAGCAGACCGTCAGGCGCCAGCCGGTCCTGCTGCCGGCGCAGAAGAGCAGCGGTCGGCCGCTGAGGATGCGACACCAGACTGTCCAGTTGGTGAATTAGTGGAGGAGAAGCCAGCTGTTGACGATCTGACGTCACACCGGCCAGCTGCTGAGGGGGCGGGAGAGAAAGCAGTTGCTGAAGCTTCGACGCAGCATGGCCCGGCGGCTGACGCAAGGGAAGTGAAGCCAGCGGCTGAAGACCCGATGGAAAACAGTTTAGCTGCGCGCGCGGTAGAGAAGAAGCCAGCTGTTGACGATGCGATGCCTGGTAGTTCAGATGCAGATGCGGGAAAGAGAGAGGCCGCTGCGGAAGATCCGACGCCAAACATTCCATTTGCTGACGCCGCGGAAGAAAAACCAGCTGCTGAATCTCTGACACCGGGGTGCCCAGCTGCTGACGCAGTGGAAGAACTGACTTCAGACAGACCAGCTGCTGTCACAGCTGAGGAAGAGCCAGCGGCTGAAGATCCGTCGCGTGACAGTCCAGCTTCTCACGCGGTGGAGAAGAAGCCAGACGCTGAAGACCTGGCGTCGAACGGTGCCACTGCTGACGCGGTGGACGAGAAGCCGGCTAAAGATGTGACCCCATGCGATCTAGTTGCTGATTCGGTGGAGGAGAAACCTGCTGCTGCTGCACCGCCACCATTGGCTCTCTCTGCCGAGACATTGAAAGAGAAGCCAGCCAGTGACTCGGCAATGACACTCATCAGCCCCGATGATGATCAAAAGCAAGAGAACGCAGACATTAAAATGAAGGCACGGGTCAGTTTTGAGACTGAAGCTGTGCTCACCGTAGATGCTACTGAACAGGTGTCAGACGGTCTTGATACAGACAGGGCTGGAAATTCACCAGCTGATGACCAGACGAAATGCGCTTCCGACGCCAACACCAATGAGAATACTGCAGTTATATGTGCGCCAAGTCCCCCTGGTGAGACGACAGAGGAGCTGGTTATTGGCCCAATGGAAGATAGTGATCAAGCCAACAAAAAGGGTGATGAGGTGCTTCCAGCTGTCGCCCTGCCGCTTGCTACGTCTGAGCCAGATGTATCTGCACCGGAGAATGTCGTGAACCCAACACCTGTCGGCCATGAGGCCGTCGGTCCAGCAGATGTCAGTTGCGAGGCAGTCAGCCCGACAGCTGTCAGCTCCGAGGTCGTCAGCCCGACAGCTGTCAGCTCCGAGGTCGTCAGTCCAACAGCCGTCAGCTCCGAGGCCGTCAGCCCATCAGCTGACGGTTCCGAGGCAGTCAGCCCAACGGATGTCAGCTGCGAGGCAGGCAGCCTAACAGCTGCCAGCCCCGAGGCCATCAGCCCATTAGCTGTCAGCTCCGAGGCCGTCAGCCCAACAGCCGTCAGTTCTGAGGCCACCAGCCCAACAGCTGTCAGCTGCGAGGCCGTCAGCCCAACAGCTGTCAGCTCTGAGGTTACCAGTCCAACAGCTGTCAGTTCGGAGGTTATCAGCAGCTGTCAGCAGCTTTCATCGGCAGCTGCCAGTTCTGAGCCCGTCAACGCAGCAACTGTCGGCTCTGAGACTGTCAGCCCAGCAGTTGCCAGCTCTGAGTCCGCCAGCTCAACAGTTATCAGTTCTAAGCCGGTCAGCCCAGCGGCCATCAGCGCTGATGTTGTAATCCCAACAGCTGTCAGCTCCGAGACCGTCAGCCCAGCAACTGTCAGCCCGGAGACCGCCAGCCCGGAGGATGTCAAGCCTGAGGCTGTCAGCCCACCGGCTGCCAGTTGTGAGGCGGGCAGCGCAGCAACCATTACCACAGTTGCCAGCCCCTCAGGGGAACCTTCCCCAACTGATGTGCTCACCCCGGTGAGCGCTGATGGCGGCGACGCGGCGTCACTTCGCCTGACGTCTATCACAGCGCCAGTGGATAGCGTCGCTGTTGCCCCAGCTCAAGCTGCGGGCCCGGTCGATGCTGGTAGTGAAAAGCCGACGACCGATGTGTCGATGCTGGCGGGCCCTCACACCTGTGAGGTCAGAGAGGAGACCGTCGGTGTCGGTGCTGCATCTGTCAGTCCTGATGCCAAAGCCGAGGGCAGGACTGCCGAGCGGTCCGACCCGGAGGCCAGTCAGCCCACTTCAGCGGAAGAAAGTCTCGCCACGGGCGCGCCGACGCTGGAAGTCTCCCAACTGGGCGCCTCAGGCGAAGCCCCAGAGGCGGGCGAGCCACCACCAGTCTGCTTGGAGTCCGGCAGCACTGGCGAGGCCTCGCAGACTGTCAGCCGGACAGCCGTCATCGAGGCGACGGACGGAGCTGACGGGCACCTTGGAGTGGACGACTCGGGCACTGTGACTGTCGGCCGGACAGCCGTCATCGAGGCGACGGAAGGGGCTGACGGGCACCTTGGAGTGGACGACTCGGGCACTGTGGCTGTCGGCCGGACAGCCGTCATCGAGGCAACGGACGGGGCTGACGGCCACCTTGGGGTGGTCGACTCGGGCACTGTGGTCCGGACAGGCAGTACCTCAGGGGACCGTCTCGTGGCAGACGCTGCTGGGGAAGCGCGAGAGAAGAATTATCCCACACTAGGCGACCTTAGTGCTGATGAAGCTCGAGAAAATACGCGGTCGGAAACGGTGCAATTGACCGCCGAGGCGGCTGTGAAGGATGGGCAGGCATCGGCTAAAACGTATGCGTCAGTCCTCAGCTCTGGCCTGGGCCCGGTGAGCTCGACTGCGTCAGTCCCCAGCTCTGGTGTGGACTTGGCGAGCTCGACACCCGCCGTTTCGCAGGCTGCTAAGGTTGAGGAAAACCCTTTGTCTGGCATTTTATCATCATCGAACAGCGGACCTGACAGTGAGGAAGGTGAGCCTGTGATGAAGCCCGATGCGACATCAGTCGGCAGCGGCATCCGTAGCGCTGCGACCAAGGTGACGGACATCTCGACGGTGGCCGAGAAAGCTGCCGGCCTGGACGAGGAGAGACACACGGAGGCCGTCGCTGTACCGGTCGCCGGTGGGACAGAAGTCGCCGAGCGGGAGGGGGTGGATACTGATCCCATTCCAGTCAGGTCCGGTGTTCACGGCTCTGACTCCGGGGAGGCTGCTGCGTGTCAGCGTTCGATAACAGAAATTCCGGAAGCTGCCTCATCCGATCAGCAACTCGAGGTTGGATGTCCATCATCGACAGACGTTTCTGCTGGTACATGCAAACCAAACCCGACGGCTGAAGGCTCCCAGGCAGGTGATCCTGACCTTAACGAAGCCGCCCGGCAGCTCAGGGCTGGCGGCGTAATGCCCGCGGCTTTGGACAGCAGCGCACCCCAGGAAAAGATGTCAGGCAGTGACTCAACGGACCCCGGAGAGGCCGCCAAAACCGAGGAAAAGGATGGAGACGGCGACCCGCCAGCCGCCAGTCCCAGTACCGCTGCCAACGAGGAAAAGCCGGCGATGGACGAGTGCAGAGGCACGCCACCTGGCGCTGACCCCGGTGAGAACACACCCACAACCGGCCACGTGACGTCGGACAAGCCGGAAGGGGACTCGGCTGACCCAGAAACCGTCACGGTCGACCAAAGGCCGGCCAGCTCAGCGGTGCCGCCAGCCGGGCCGTCCGTGGACCCGATCGACGCCGTGTCCGTCGGCCCTATGTCTGCGGCTGTAGGCTCGCCGGATCCAGTCGACCCGGCGCGCGATAGTCAGGTGACAGTTTGTCGAAACAGCGTGGATAACGCGGCGTCAGTCTGTCCAGAGGCCACTGATACCCCGGCGTCAGACTGTCCAGAGGCCACTGATACCCCGGTGTCAGTCTGTCCAGAGGCCACTGATACCCCGGCGTCGGTCTGTCCAGAGGCCACTGATACCCCGGCGTCAGTCTGTCCAGAGGCCACTGATACCCCGGCGTCAGACTGTCCAGAGGCCACTGATACCCCGGCGTCAGTCTGTCCAGAGGTCACTGATACCCCGGCGTCAGTCTGTCCAGAGGCCACTGATACCCCGGCGTCAGTCTGTCCAGAGGCCACTGATACCCCAGCGTCAATCTGTCCAGAGGCCACTGATACCCCGGCGTCAGTCTGTCCAGAGGCCACTGATACCCCGGCGTCAGTCTGTCCAGAGGCCACTGATACCCCGGCGTCAGTCTGTCCAGAGGTCACTGATACCCCGGCGTCAGTCCATCCAGACGTTACGGACACCCCAGAGTCAGTCCGTACAGAGGTCACTGATACCCCGGCGCCAGTCTGTCCAGAGGCCACTGATACCCCGGCGTCAGTCTGTCCAGAGGCCACTGATACCCCGGCGTCAGTCTGTCCAGAGGCCACTGATACCCCGGCGTCAGTCTGTCCAGAGGCCACTGATACCCCGGCGTCAGTCTGTCCAGAGGCCACTGATACCCCGGTATCAGTCCATCCAGAGGTCACTGACACCCCGGCGTCAGCCCATCCAGACGTTACGGACACCCCAGAGTCAGTCCGTACAGAGGTCACTGATACCCCGGCGCCAGTCTGCCCAGACGCCACTGACACCCAGGCGTCAGTCTGCCCAGACATCACCGACACCCCGACGTCAGTCCATTCAGACGTCACGGATACCCCGGTGTCAGTCTGCCCAGACATCAGCGACACCCCAGCGTCAGTCTGTCCAGACGTCACGGACACCCCGGCATCAGTGTGTCCAGACATCAATGGCGCCCCAGCGTCAGTCATTCCAGACGTCACAGACACCCCGGCATCAGTGTGTCCAGACGTTACGGGCACACCAGCGTCAGCCTGTCCAGACGTCAGCGACACCCCAGCGTCAGCCTGTCCAGACGTCAGCGACACCCCAGCGTCAGTCTGTCCAGACGTCACCAACACACTGGCATCAGTCTGTCCAGACGTCAGCGATACCCCAGCGTCAGTCTGTCCAGACGTCACGGACACCACGGCGTCAGTCTGTCCAGACGTCAGGGACACCCCAACGACAGTCTGTCCAGACGTCGTGGACACCCCGGCGTCAGTCTGTTCCGACGTCAGCGACAGCCCAGCGTCAGTCTGTCCAGACGTCACCAACACTCCGGCGTCAGTCTTCCCAGACGTCACGGACACGCCTGCGCTGGACGCCACGGAATCACCGGCGTCCGTCGGACCGGAACTTGACGCAGCAGCGCCACGCCAGAAGCCGGCAGCGTGCGTCCGGGCTGACCCGGCCGGGGCCGTCCCGTCCACCGACGGCCGGGGGCCGGCCGACTCAGAACGCCGCCCAGCTGATACGGTGGCCGGCCGCGCCGCTGACGAAACGGCGGCGCCCGTCGCGCCAGCCGCCGCCATGGTCACGCAAACCGGTCCTGGTCAGGGCCCTGCCGCACCTGAGTCATTAGCCCTTAGCCCTGAAGCCTGTAAAAATCCGCACAATGGGCCGGCCGGCTCAGCTGCGGCGGCGGACGGCATGGCCGGCGGCGGGCCAGCCGCCGCCGGCGCGCGGGGGTTGAGCGGCCGCGACTGCAGGGGTGAGCAGCCCGCCGCGCTGACGGCCGGTGACACCCCTGCCGCCAGGTGCGGCGAGCGGCGCGCCGCGTCCCCGCGCCCGGCCGCCGCAGAAACGGACCGCTCGATTGTATTGACTGCCGACGGCGGCGCGGCCGCCGCGAAACCGCAGATGGGCGGCGGAGCGGGCGCGGCTCCGCGCGACGCCAGTGGGCCCAGCAGCGGCGGCGCGCGCGCCGGCGAGGCCAGCGCCCCGGGCGAAAGTGAGCGGCCGCGGGCGGAGCCGGACGAGGGCGGGCCAGCGGCGCGCGGCTTTGTCAGCGTGGTGGCCGTGGGCGCGGCCGGCAGCACGGTGGTGCACACGGCCGCTGGCAGCGGCGGCGACGACAGGCCTCCCGTCACCGTCACTAACGTGACGGGTGTCGAGCGCGCCGCGCGCGGCAACGTGGCTACCGTGGAGGTGACCGACTCGCCGGCGGGCGCGCAGCCCGAGGGCGCGCCGGCCGCGCGGCGCGTCCCCCCTGAGGAGGTGGAGGTGGTGACGGACGAGAAGACCAACTCGGTGCTGGTGACGGGAGAGGTGCGGCCGGCGCCGGACGAGCTGCGCAGTCTCATAGCGCGCTCGCGCCAGGCGCGCGACGAGTTCGTGCAGATGACGGTGGGCCGTGGCATCTCGCCAGAGCCGGCGTCGCGCCTCGCCGACTACTTCGCCGGCCTGGACGCACCGGCGCCGACGCCCGGGCGGCGCGGACCGCGAACCCCTGAGGTGCGGCGCCGCCAGCGCTCGCCGGACGGCGCTGAGCGGCGCGTCAGCACCGACGGCGAGATGCCAGATGACTTCGACGACGGCTTCGACTTCGGCGGCGGCGACGACGACGAGTACGGCTACGACCACTTCGACTCGGACGAGCGCTACTCGATGGAGGAGCAGGAGTCGTTCAGCGACGCGTCGCAGGAGGAGGCGTACACGGAGGAGGAGATGCGGGGACTGAGCCGGCCACTGGACTTCACACTAACCACCATCATCGAGGAGAGCTGCGAGGAGAGCGACGTCGATGAGCGCGCCGCCAAGGAACGCACACCCACCGCTGACCCGTCATCGGAGCTCGAGAAGTACTTCTTCTTCGGCCTGGGCAACGGGCCGTACGAGCCGCGCAAGGTCGGCAACGAGGAGAGCGAGTGCAACGACTCGTTCAGCAGCGACGCGTCAGCCTCGGTGTACAGCGAGCTGTTGGACACGGAGGACGCCGACGGTGACCCGGTGGAGCAGGCCGCGGCGCGCTACTTCAACAAGGGCTTCCTGGGCCTGGGTCTGGTGCGGCAGCCGTCGATTCGCTCTGCTGGCGAAGACTCTGAGGTCCAGACGGACGGCAGCGGTAGCGTTGGCAGCGACTCCGAGGGTCAGCCATCTCCCGAGCAGCGGCGCAAAAAGGTCACGCGCTCCCGCTACCGGGCGCAGTCGGGTGACGTCAGCGGCAGCGGCGGCGACGTGTCGGCGCGCGAGGTGTCCGACAAGAGCGACGGTACGTCCAGTGACGAGGACAACCCGCCCGATCCGACCGCCGACGAGACGGCCTTCGAGAAGACGGACGGCCAGTTCGACACGATTAAACGGCGCAAGAAGAAGAAGCTGCTGGCGTCCGGCGGCGACCACTCGGACCGCGAGACGGCCCTGGAGAAGGTGGCTCGCGCGATGGAGGAGCCGGCGGCGCTGGCCGTGGCGCGAGCGCCGGAGCCGCTGGCCGCGCCGGACGCTGGCCGCGATGCCAGTCTCCACCAGCTGGACAAGACGGGCGAGGCGCGCCAGAGCCGCGACAGCGGCTTCCTAGGCAGCTCGGACGACCTGCTGAAGGAGGCGGTAATCAAGGAGACGGAGGAGCGGCCAGAGGAGGCGGCCAATCGCGTGACGCCCGACTCATCGGACAGTGAGGGCACGGCGCGCAAGACCAGCTCGGTCTCCGGCTCGCAGCGGTCCGCCTCCGGTGAGGAAGGCGCCGCCGGCGGCAGGAGGTCGACTACACCGTCAGCCAAGGCCAGAGACGCCGCCGGCCAGGCGGCCAGTTCGCCGGGCGCCAAAACGCGCAACAAGGTAATCCGCAAGGACTCGTTCAACAACTGGAGTTCGGACGAGGAGACCAACATCCTGATGGGCCGTCTGCGACAGTTCTTCCGCACGACCATCTTCAGCGCGCCGCGCACGGACGTGCACGGTCCGCAGGCGAAGCCGGCCCAGCTGCTTTCGTTCGAGAGCGAGCTCACGCGCATGATGAAGAGCGTGCCTGGCATCAACGAGGCGCAGGTGCGCGAGATTGTTGAATACCTGAGCAGCGAGGACACGTGGAGCGACTCGTACGACAGCTCCGACTACACGAGCAGTGACCTGGAGGGCGCGTACGCCGCCTTCAACCCGGCGCAGCCCGACTTCATGACGCAGATCCAGAAGCAGATCTCGCAGAGCTGCCAGCAGATCATCCAGAAGTACGACGGCTCGGACGCGCCGCCGCCGCCGCCCGTCCAGCCGCCCGCGCCGGCGGCCGCCGCGCCGGCCGAGCCCAACGACGCTGTGGCCGTGTACGAACGGTTGATGGGCAGCTTGCGCGGCCTGTCGCAGCCGACGCAGCCGCCGCCGCCCTGTGCCCGCCTCGCCTCCCATGCTCACTAAGGTGATGCAGCACGTAGGCGACCGGCTGGTGGCGCTGATGCACGAGGTGTCAAGCGGCGGCGACTCGACGTCACTCAGTGACCACTCGCCCAACCTGAGCGTGCGGCTGCCGCGCGCGCGCGACTTCTTCACCGAGTCGTACACGTCGAGCCCGAAGCACGGCCGGAGCCGGACGGCGGCGGCCGAGGCGGCCGTCTCGAGTCCGGACCTGACGCCGGGCCACTCGCCGCACGTGCCGCGCTCCGGCTACCTGCGGCTGATGACGGCGCCGCCGGCCGCCTCCGACGACAACATTCTGGCCTCGCTGGAGACGGCCTCCTCGCCGACCGGGCCGCGCAAGTCGGTCGGCAGCACCGGCTCCATCGACTTCAACAAGATCCTGCGCGACAGCAAGCGCAAGAAGAAGAAGGAGTTTGACTCGTGCCACAACCTGGTGGAGAAGAAGGACGCGGAGGAGGGCGAGCCGACGCTCGGGCGCACCGAGGACAAGTGGACGCGCCTGAGCGGCCGCGTGAAGTCGGAGGGTGACGTGAGCGTCAAGTCGTGCGGCAGCGGCAGCACGCTGACGATCGGTCGACCGCGCAGCTCCGAGTTCTCCTCGTCCGAGCAGGTGGACTCGGACTCGACACTGCGCGCCGCCGACAGCTACGAGAAGCACATCGGCCAGCGCAACACGCCGCGCTGGTTCAGCAGCCGCTCCAGCCTCGGCAGCAAGAACTCGCTCAACACGTCGCTGAGCAGTGAGACGATCACGGCGCGGCCCGAGGCGTCCGACAGCGAGCCGGAGGACCGCCGGCCGCGCCGCTTTCTCTTCAACTACAAGCGTCGCAGCAGCGTGCCGGACACGAGCCCGCTGCCGGGCGAGCCGGCGCCGGCGGCCGACGTGCGCTCGACGACGCTGCCGCGCTCCACGGCCGTGGGCGGAAGCACGGGCGCGCTGCCGGTGCCGAGCGCGGCAGGCTCGCTCTCGCTGCCGCGCGGCCGCGTCACGCCGCCGCACAAGGCGGTGCACCTGGGCGTGTCGAGTCTGGCGGCTGACGCGGCCCGCTCGGCCCGCTACCGGCCGCCGGGCTTCCGGGCCGCCGGGCCCACCTCGCGGCGCGCCCTGCTCGGCGCCCGACGCTCCTCGTGGTCCCACAAAGGTCAGTCCCGGCGTCCGCGCCCTCGCTCGCTTTGTGTCGCCTGTTGTGTGTGTGTGGGTGGGTGTATGTCTGTGTGAGTGTGGGTGTATGTACCGTGACGAAGCAGGGGAGGGGCGCTTGGCTGCGGCTGCGGACGGGATGTTTGTGAAGCGGGCGTTGCACGTGCCGTTTGCTGATGTCGATGTGCGGGACAGTTGGTAAGATTGAAGCGGTGGCGTCCACTATACGCTACGTCTTACGGCGCTGCAATCTGCCGCTGGCTCACATGACTGGGCCTCTCACTGTCTCTGCATAAGTGGTAGTTACCGCATTCAGAAGGCTGCGCAGCTCATCACACCAGCGCTACGCAACGGCTGTCGGAAGACATCCGACTGACATCTTGATTTCCTAATTAGCGCCCGTCGTACGGCGGGCTCATGCCGTTTGTTAGTACGGTTCCATTCAATTATCTGGCCACTCATTGGAATGCGGGACACAGGCGTGCAAGAAAGTGTGACGTTCATTCAATTGTCTTCGTTACTTATGCAAGTTCCAACGATTCTTGACTGGGGAAGCGTTTCTGGCGTGCTCATTGTTTCCATTCGGGTCCGCTCGACGATTGAGTGTATCCATTTCACGAGGCACAGGTCACTAGGTCGGCTCCACTCGCTTTACAGTTCCGCTCGTCGATCTGTGGCGGCGAGTGCCGGTCGCATTAGGGCATGTGATGTGATTGGGCATTATTTGTGACGCTGGGCCGCATCGTACACGTTTGCGATCACCGTAGCGACTTGAGGCCTGGCGCCATCCGCCTCTTCTCTGTGGGACATCTCTTCCGCCTGCGCTCGTGTTGCCTTGGGTGCAACTGCGCGTTTAAGTAGAAACACATGCGCGTAGATAGCACGCACGTGCGCGCGCACGCCCGCTCACACCCTCTCTGGTACGGACACGTCGCTGTTGGGCCGATTCCCAGCGCGATATTGCTATAACGCCAGTCGCTGCAATGCCGCCATGGTTTTATCACTGAGGTGAGAACTCATTATACACTCGGCACTTTTGTGTCGTTTCTACATACCTACCCGTGCAAGGCTGGTGTGAACGCCTGCTGGCTTCCGCCTCGATAAGAGCACGGACCGCGAACGCCGCGGTGAGAAGCCCGGCAGGAAGCGTGGTGAGGTTCACGGCCGGGAAGCGGACTGCACGAGCCTGGCAGCGGGCTCGCTCTCACGCCTCCGCACGACACGCCTGGGGTGTGCCGAGCCACGACACGCGCGCCGTACTCACGCCAGCGCGGCGGCACCGGTGCTGCCTGACTTTCCTCGTGTCTCGGCACTCCGTCCATGGTGTTTTGATCTGATGTGATCTGATCGGGGTGTTGCTGATGTTGGGCTAAATACGGGATGTTTTTATCTCGTAGCACCGTAAAATTTACGCATTTTGGAGGAAATACGAATGCTTGTTCGGTGTTTTTAGTGGCTTTTGATCCCTCATCCGGATTTGCGTTTTTCATGATACGAACACAAAGGGGGCGGATGCAACCCACCTGCTGTTTCAAACAAAGCAATTATCTTAGTGTAGCAAAAAATAACAAGGGGTGGCCTCGGTGAGATCTCGCGATTGGCAATGTATTTTATGCTGCCAGGCGGGGATGACGTAACCGGGAAGTGGTGGGATGAAGGGGACGGAATAAGCAGTTGTCCCCATGCGCACCGACACGGGTAAGAGTATGCTTTTGCACCTCTAAATTTTGGGGCGCCCCTTTGCCCAAGTTGAGCGTTTTGTAGCCATACTTAGCCTACGAAATTCACATCAAGGAAGCCCATAAACAAGCTGGGGTACCAAATCCGTCTCAGAAGACCCCTTGCTGCATAAAGGGACACATTTTCTGGATACAAATGCCCACATTTGTGTTAAGGAGGCTCATTTTTTCGCTTGGAAGGCCCCCGTTAGGAACCAGAATTGTGGACATTTATTCGCGCGGACATTGATACTTATACTGCAACTGGGGGCGTACCGCCCCCCCCCCCCCCCACACACACCCCTGATACGACACTGCCCATGAGGTCTCCCGTGACATTCACATTCGTGTTTGCCTCTCGGACCATATCACAATAGCCTTTCTCTACAGGTCGTATGATATAGTGGGTTGCCTCACAGGCGCAGAGGCTGGTGCTCGTGTTGAAGTCGTGCGCGTCCGTTTCCTGTGACGTCAGTGCGGTGTGTTTTTCTTTGTAGCGCATCACAGCTGGATGCGCGACAGACTGCCATCCCTTACCACGACCCGTCCAATCCTTGCGCAAGCTGTGGTAAGAACGTCTTCCTCACGGGGTGTGGCTCTCGCCGCGGCCGCTCTGGCCCTTTCTCTCCAGCTGGCACGGCTCGATCTGGGGCGAACTGTCGGTCGGTCAACAGGGTTATCGCTCCCACTCGCGCCAGCCGCTCCTGAACGGCCCGGCCGCGGCCCGATTGACCCTCTGTCAGGAGCCGGCCCCATTGACCCTCTGTCAGGGGCCGGCCCCATTGACCCTCTGCCAGGGGCCGGCCCGATTGATCCTCTGTCAGGGGCCGGCCCGATTGACCCTCTGTCAGGGGCCGGCCAGATTGACCCTCTGCCAGGGGCCGGCCCGATTGACCCTCTGTCAGGGGCCGGCCCCATTGACCCTCTGCCAGGGGCCGGCCCCATTGACGCTCTGTCAGGGGCCGGCCCCATTGACCCTCTGTCTACGGGGGAGGGGCCTCAGAGACCGTTGCTTTTTCAGGATAAGTATCTGAACGGTCTCGAGCGCAGGGCTGAAAGTTTGAGCGACTGAGTTTGCGTCATTGTTACGAGTGTTAAAAATTCAAGTTTCTCGCCTTGCTTAGTCATGATCACCTTGATTGGTTATGATCTTTGACCTCTTTCTCGAAGGTATTCATGCAATATTTGGCTCGGAAGTGACAATCGGGTGACGCATATTCTTTGCTGGATATTTAGTTTAAGGATATGTTTTAGACTATTGCTCTCAACGTTATCAATCTCACGTGCATTTTTATCTCTCTGCTTACTTTTGCAGGTTCAGGCCATTCAAATCTTTGAATTTCAAGCCTTGTATGTCCAGCTTTGACATTTGTGAAAATATTTGAGCTCTTGAAGATCTTACTATTTGAACCATAATGACGCATTCATTCTTGCTTTCATTAACAACATTACATTCATAACACTCTTGCTTGCGTAAGTGTGTATTTTTTAGTTTTGATGTAGCTAGACTGGAAAGTTCAACAATAGCCATCAACCCCTAAACTCGGCTTGACATACTACACCCCCAACAGATCCCATCTGTTGATTTTCAATAGCGCCTTATCCGATAATTTTCTTAGAGCTATTCATCTCCGTTTTCTTCCATTGTCGCCGCACACTTAATTCGTGAGATAACAGGAGGGTTAATAAACAGCTGCTCTGGGCTGGGATGACCTATCAAAGGTCACGTTCACCGCTGCTCACCCAGACATACGCCTGTGTTTTTCAACGCTGTTTTAACGCGTCTCTGGCTCGCTTAATTTTCGATACATTTCGCCCTCCACGCTTGTGGGGCGGAGGTAAAAGCCTGCGTAAGGAGCGGGGAACGGCCTGGCCGTGCTGGAGAGCCCTCCCGGATCCCAGATGCATCGCTGATGAGCACACACGTACGTGTCATCCGTTGCCACACCAGTGCTGGCAGACCTGACGCGCTGAGTCAGTTCGTCTGTCAGTCAGTAAGCACTTCTGACTCGTGACCGCTGGAGGGGTCCGGCAACCCCACCCCTCGCAGATGTCCGGCGGGTCGGATGTCGCGTGATCGTCCGCCCACAGAGCAGCGGGCAGCGGCTCGTCCCGCTCTCGCCCTCCCGAACAGCCAGCCGCTCAGCTGGCTCTCGTGATGACGGCTGGTCCCGGCTCGCCCAGCGCTTCTCACGGCCTGGTGGGAGATCAGTGATCACTATCAGTGCGCCGAGAGCTTAGTGGTCTTCGCTGTTGGTATTTCGAGAGCTTACATGTCCTCGCTGCTCATGAGATCCCAGAAGGTCACGTGCGTCTCATTTCTATCCCGAGAACTTGACGTCCCCCCATAACTATCCAATGGCTCGGCATCCTGCCTTTTCAGCACCCCCGATACTCTGTTTGGAGGGAGCAGTGCTCTTCGCTCCATGTCCAGCAGCTCAGTGTTCCTCACTTTATTTTACAAAATGGTCAGCGTTCCCCGCTTCTTGTCATGGATGGCCTATCCCAGTGCTCCTCTCCTTCTGTTCAGAGACTTCAGCGCCCATCAGTCCTCACCGTCTGTCCCAAGATGCGCTCCTGATCCCCACTCCCAGTGGTCCCCACCGTTTGCGCCGTGACTTCGTATTCCTCACCATCTGTCCTGAAATCTCGTTGCTCCCACCGTCCGCTCCAAGACTTCGGTGCTTCTCACCCCCTGCATCGAGACTACAGCACTCTGTTTCTCATCGTCTGCCTCAATAGTTCGGCATCCCCCGCCGTCTGCCCGGAGGCCCGACTATCCCTGCCTCAGACCCCGGCAGCCGGGCGGACGGCCGGCGCCCGTTGCCGCCTGCGGCCCTGTGCCGGACCGGCACTGCCCCTCCCCTACCCCGTGCGCCCGTATCGGCCTGGCCGGGCAGCCGCGGCCGCCATGCCAGACGCTGCAGACCGGTGGCGTCACGTGAGCACGCCGCGTGTCGGCCGGTCGGGCGGCGCCGACGTCACGTGACGGCGGGGTCAGGTGTGGCGCTGCAGTGCACGCGGCCGTACGCCGGGTATGGGACCGTGCTCACTGACACCGGACGCCTCCAGTGCCTCAAAGGTCACAGCTTCCCCACGTGGAGCGATCGTATGTGCTGGGCCGGGGCCGACATGGCCAGGGGAAGTTTGCGGCTGGGGATCTTTTTCACCTGTCCTTGAAGTCAGGCGCTTGCTTGTCTCATGCACTGGTATCGCCAGTGTCGTTTCCGGTTGCCTTAGTCAAGGCGCGGACTTTCCCAAGCTCCCCACATTTCAGACTGTC